AAGCTCCTATCAGTTCTGACCACCTGAAAAGGCTGAAGCAAGCTGAGAAGACTACGTTGTCTTATGAATTAAAGTGCCAAAAGTGGAGCTATAAACACAGCTGTCACTGGAGAGCTAACCATGACAGGAAATCAAGCCCTTCCCATCATGAGGCAGACATTCATTCTCAGATTACTTAAAGCAACTAGAAACACTGGATCCTCAGGTGGCCCACACTGTTGCGTGTGCATGAAAGTTAGGATCAGCTGAGAGTGTTTCTCCTCAGTGACTTGGCATGTGGAATCATTTGGGTTGGAAGGGATCTTTAAAGGTCACCCAGTCCAACCCCCTTGCAATGAGCAGGGACTTCTTCAACTAGATCGGGTTGCTCAGAGCCCTGCCTAACCTCACCTTGAATGTTTCCAGGGATGGGGCACCTACTACCTCTCTGGGCAACCTGTGACAGTGTTTCACCACCCTCACTGTAAAAAATGTCTTCCTTTTATCTAGTCTAAATCTACCCTCTTTCAGTTTAAAACTATTACCCCTTGTCCTATCGTTCCAGTCTCTGCTAAAAAGTTTGTCCTCATCTTTTTCATGGGCTCCCTCTAGGTACTGAAAGGCTACAATAAGGTCTCCACGGAGCCTTCTCTTCTCCAGGCTGAACAACCCCAACTGTCTCCATCATTTCTGTGGCGTCCTCTGGACCCACTCCAACAGGTCCGTGTCTTTCCTGTGCTGAGGGCCCCAGAGCTGGACACAGCACTGCAGGGAGGGTCTCATGAGAGCAGAGGGGCAGAATCACCTTCCTCGACTGCTGCTCATGCTGCTTTTGTTGCAGCCCAGGGTGCAGTTGGCAATACAAGAAGAGCTGCCTCTAGTTAGCAGGTTCTTGAGGGCAAAGCCAAGTAAAGCTGCTTTTCTAAGAGGTTGTGCTGGGTGCTTGTGCCCTTCTCAGCATGGGCCCAGAAGCTGAGCTGGCTGTTTTGGAGGGGTGAATGGCAGGGTGAAGGTCCTGCAGTGTCAGATAAGGCTGCCTTTCTGCTTTTTGTGTTAAGTCAGTATTTTTCCCTTGCTGAATAACCCTGGGCTTGGGATCGCAGCAGTGAGGGCTGTCGCTGTCCTGATGTTAATAGGAGGTGGTCACCCCTTCTGTATTGCTCAGGTATCAGGGTGAAAGTACCCCAGGGGTGAGTGTGCCATGGGGTGGCACAGAGGGTGGGAGGTGGGCACGCAGTGTCTCCATCTGTAGCCCAGCTCTTGGGGGCTGCAAGGCTATGCTAGCCTGCCCTGACATACGATTGCCCCCCAAAACTTAGGATACTCCTGGCTGCTTCTGGATTGTGTAGGGCAGAGGCAGCCTGGGACCCGAGCCCCTCCTTGCATCCAGCACATAGAGGAAGAAAATTAAAGGATCCATCCTCCCAAGTCAGGCTTTTTATACAGCTCTACAAACTTAGAAACCGCTCCTCTTTCTCCTGCCACTAGGGTCAGCTTGCTGAAACAAAGATTAAAAGCCTGAATTTCTGTAAAGGTAATCTAATGGCAGCCAAAACAGGCTCCCCAGAGAAGATTAACTATGCCCTGGACTGAGGGGAGTTTGAGCTTTAGCAAAATGGACAGATGAGAAAAACATAGCGAGTCCTGCAAAGATTAATTTGATAAAAGTGGGCAGAGCACAGCAAAGCCATGAGACGCTGGTTAAGTGTTAGCTTTTATGTATAGCTGAGTTCTAGGTCTTTAGACAAGACTTAATCTTTTCTATAAACAAATAACACATTCATTTACATGAATAATCCACATTTCTTATGCAAATCATTTCCCTGCTGCTGTTTCTACTGAGAATAATATTCAGTATAATTACCACATTTATTTAGTGAATCTATTTACACAGGGTAGTGCTCTGTCTATGAATGCTCTTCACCAGAGAGGCCCATAGAGCAACAGGGGAGCCAGAGCTGCCAGTCATGTGCACCCTCCATTTTCTATTTTTGTTCCGATAAAGCATTTTGGGACCGGCTGAGATGTCTCGGCAAGAGCAGAAGGATGTCAGCATCCTGCCTCCGTCCCAGGGAGAGAACCTGCTGCTAAAGGGAGGCAGCTCTCCCCTGCTCTCTAGCCTGCTGTTTGAGCTCAAGCTAACTATAATGAGGCAAGGCACTTTGAATAATAACTTTCCTTTGGGTATAAGGCTATCTTAATTTTTTGTGTGTTTAAGTTGGTAATTGCCATAGAGTTTGAAAATCTTCCAGGTTTTACCACTCTTAATTATGTTCTCATGCATATGCATCGTCTGCTTGCGTGCTCATTACTGCCAGGAGATCAGAACCTGAAACGCTGGAGCAGTTTCCTTCAATTATCTCCCATACGCAGACTCTCCCGTGAAATACCTCTCCTGCATGGGATAGCCCAAGCTGTTTGGAGCACACCTCACCTTGCTGTCCAGAGCACATTTTGCTCTCTGTGGTTAAATCAAGATGCGTTCCTTCCCTCCCATGTCTCGCCTGGGTTGCTCCTACCTGGGATGTCCCCTTGCTCGTAGCACCAGCTGTTGAAATGCTTGTTCAGGGGAAGTTATTACAGTGTCCTAATGGAAAATATTTCAACTTTCTAGGACCCTGATTGCCTCTTTACCTGCTCTGTTTGCATCTATTGATCGTTCTGGTTCAACAAGAGCCTCTGGGACTAACAAATTCTAACAGGTTTGAATGCATTAATGAGGTGTTATGCAGGGAAGGAAGAATAATGCTGTTGGGCTTCTAACTTGTTCTTGCTCAATAACAGCAAAACAAATGTGTGCAATTAAACATTACTTTGTTTTCTAAACAGCAGCCTTGAAATTCTGTCCTTCTAGAGGGGAAATCAAGCTGCTGCTTTGCTTTCTAACCAACAGTGGTGATTTGGTGATGGGAAATGAGATGTTAATCCACCTGAGCACGTTCAAGGTAGAATACTGTTCCCTTGTAGGTAGGCAGAATTTGTAGCACTGTGTGTGTTTTCCTGTAGGAGATCACAGTGGATCCCCATGAAAAGATCGGCGTGGAACAAGCGTAGACCTTGACGTTATGCACTCTTTTTTGTACAGAGTAACTGCTTGCTTTTAACTACTTTTCAAGGAGATGTGGGATCAGTTGTTAGCCCCTTGGAGCTTTTGTGTTGAGAGCAGGAGATTTCCTAATCAAATATAAGTCACTCTGACTTTATACTTAAAGCGTTGGGTTGTATATGAAAGAAACAGCTATTCCCAGACACTTCACCTAAATAATGGGATTGAAATCTTAAGAAATTAGGTGGTGTGTGGTTCACTTGCTTCAGTTTTTGGATCCCTCAGGCGAGAGAAGGGATGAAGAGACAAGAATTTTTCCTATGAAAAATTTTCTAGGAGGAAGATGAGGGTAAAACTTTTCATCCAGCTGTGAAAATGCTCCTTCCCACAAAACGCCTGGTGCAATATTACATATTGCCAGCTGTGTTAATAGATGCCTAAATCCCAGTTGGCATTGGGCCACACTTACATATCACAGAAGCAGAGATTTGGCTCCGAAGTCTGCTTAACACCTGCACACAAAAGAACAGAGGCACTAAAGGTGCTTTAAGGACAAAGCTGTGTTTTGGCTAATGTGTTCCCTCACCCATCACCTGTCTTGTTCTTTATTCAGTTGAGTGTCACTTGTCCAGACTGCAATTATGGGTTTGTCTGTGTCTAACGGACATAGTCTTGCAGCTGACTAAGAGGACTGATTTAGCATATTCAGAGTAACATGAGGGTTTGGTCTGAATTCTGTCAAGGTTCTCCGCTTTCTTAGAGATGGATTGGGAGGGTGTGTGTGTGCACATGTGTGCATGCTCACAGGAGCACACCTCCCTGGGAGGCATCTGAGCAGCTCTGCTTCCCCTGTAGAGTCACAGCAGCACTAGGGTCCCCTGGGAGCATGGGTGCCTGCCAGAGCTGGGCTGAGGACCACAGGGTGCCCAGGACCTTACGGGCTCAGGTGCAGAGATCTAAAGATTCATCTGCGCTGTGTTATGTTTGCTTATTGATCATTTGCTGCAACTTGGCCCACAGAGCTATCTGCTGCCTTTTGTCTCAAATGCTCTTTTGTGGCCATTTGAAGAGGCTGTCACTGGTTGCTGATGCAGCGACCTGGAGCTAGACAGCTTTCCCCCTGCCAAAACACTGAAAAAACAGGCTGTGGGATCAGCAGGCATCGCTTACCCATGGGCTTTTCCCAGAAAATGCCTGTGTTGGGGAGCATCAGGAGAGACTATCAATCACCTGAGACATCTGGAGGCAGACAGACAGTACCCAGAAGACTTAACTCTATTGTGGCAATAAGCTACACAAAAGCAGGGCTGGTCAAAAGCAACCAGTGGACAGTACTGAAGATGGTCACAGTGGAAGAGCACCGCCTAAGGAATCTGTTCTTGTGCTCCCTAGTATGTCCCCCAGGCACATGCTGAAGTCAGTGTGTCTCCTTTCAAATCTCCCATTGCTCTGGCCCTTGTTTTCACACCTGCTTGTACTGGGCACATGGAAATGCTGGGAGCTAGCAAAAAGGCTGCATCTAATCCAGAAAATCCTGTGCTCCAGCAAAGGGAGACAAATACTGGGGAGAATGTGAATGAAACAGGAGTGCAAGTGGGTGGCCATTTGATGGCGGTTGCTAAAGATGGAAGATATAATACCTTGTGGTAGGCAAGAATTCACCCCACCCTCCTCCAGTCTTACTATGGAGAAGTCTCTGACCCCGTGGTGAGACAGCTCAGCACTGCCTCATCCATCAGTGCCACACAAGCTCGGCTGAAGGTGGGAGCCTGCCTTGTAGGAACTGCGGGTGAACGTCTGGATGTGTGCTGGTGCCCATCTACCCAGGGAACAGCTTGCGTTCCTGCAGCTGACTTGGTGAGAACTTCAATTAACAAATGCTATTAAAGTAGCTCTCCTCTTTATTTTACTTTTTTTATTCATAGCATTTCCTGACAGCTTAAACCTTTAATTAACTGGAGATGCCATCGTGGAAAGTTTGCTAGAGAAGAACGCTTGCAATTTAATTAAAAAGAAAAAAAAATCCTTTACAGTTACTGAAAAAGATCTGCTTGCAACTCCAATAGTGGCAAAAAGCCCGCAGGAATTCCTCCATTTCCCTTTCTGATTGCAGCAGCAGGTGAGGAGGTGCAGAGCGATATCATCTCCCAAGTGGAGCAGGTGAGAGCTTCACAGCTTCATGTTTGACCCTCCGGTTTAGGGTGCAGATGTAGGACAAGCTACAGTTCTGTTATCTACGTGAGGGAAAGGAGACAGCCAACTATAAAGCTCTTACTTTTTAAAAGAGCTTTAACTTACAATTCTCCTGGTATTAGGCCAGAGCCGTCTCTAACATTTGTGGTCTTCTCTGAGGGCACATGGGGAGAACATTGTTCAGCATAAGCACTGCTCTTTTTTTTTTTTTTTTTCCCATTACAGCACAGAAGCAAAGGCAGAGCTTACCTGCCACAAAAACGTGGGATAATGGTCACACTTGCTTCAACAGCCTTCATGCAAGCTGCTTTTTGAGATGGTAGGGTACTGCCTGAGGTGGCAGAGAGTCCTGGCTGCTGTTTGCAACCCTGTGCTGTGTGTGATGGCTAGGAACCACCAGGTCAGTCCACACTTGCACCCTTGCAGCAGCGTGCCATGTGGCCAAGGCACGGGGTGACAAGTGCTGCAGAGCTGGGGGAGCCCCATGGCAAAGCAACAATCTCTCCTTGCTCCTGTGCAAAGGACTTGCTGGCTTCTCCCTGTCTTCTGCTCACGTTGATCGGATTCGGGACAGACCAAGTGACCTAGAGGCTTTTTGAACAGCTGCAGATCCAAAAATGGATTTTAGTTCCTGTATTAAATATAAATCTGAAAGAGTCACCGACTGTTTGCATTCAAAGCACAGCTCCACCCCTAGACAAGTAGCAAATGGTTCCTGAGTCATCCCCTGGGAGCAGGTGGGGGCTGTGGGGGTGCTGCCTGGTTCTCCTGGAGGCCCTGTGCCCTGGCTGGCACCTCAGCTCTGGGTGACGAGGGACACCTGGGCTCCTTGTGAAACACTCCAATGCTCAGCACTTGCCCAAACAGCTATTTGGGAGCAGCCTGATGTGCTCTCCCCGCTCTCCTGGCCCTGTCCTCAGCTTGGTTAAATTCGGGAAGTGTAGCACACCATCTGCCAGCGGCGGGAGAGAAACCTCTGTATCAGCTTCTCTCCCCAAGCCTGGAGCAGGGAGCACAAGGGTACCGTTGGCCACTGAATGAAATCCAGCTCCCTGTGTAACCGCATATTGCCGTGCTGACCCTTTCAAAGGCTGATCCCTTATCTCTGCAAACAAACATCTTCTTTCCGATATATTGGCTACTGCGAGCAGCACCTCTTCGTGGGGAAGCTGCGCTGCCAGAAATAGCAGTGAGAGCTGGGCAGCCCCAAACCGCTGACTGTGCCAGATCATCCCCTGGCCACGGGGCTCCGTGTCCTAGAAGCCCCTTTTCAGCCAGAGCTTGGTGGGGTTGCTCCATCTTACAGTTACCTGTGATGTTCAGCTGAGACACCTCAGCATCCCAAGTTGGGGGGAGATTTTGATCCTTTCTTCTGATCGCTTCTTGAGTTCATCTGTTTAAGCCTCTTCCAGCTTTCCTAGAACAAACCGCAAAGCATTTGCAATCCTTTTGGAAAAGAAATGTGTTTTTTCTCTGCAGACCGCACCTCTGATGTAACCAAACTAAGACCCAGGAGTATTCATAGTAAAAATGGCACTGAAGCAGTGCACAGCTCGTTTGTAGACCTGGTATGTTGAAATTCCCTTGAAATGTGCTTTACAGATGCCCTTGAAATAGTGAGGAGAGGTACTTTTCCCTATCACCCTTTCCTTAAAGGCAGGACCCCAGAGGGCCATTGCCTGAGGCTGTGATTGTGAAAAGTCCCCCTTCCACTTGGAAATGATGGCCTATTTTTGCACCCATGAAGCAATCCTTTTCATCAATTTTGCAATGCCAATACCAACAAATGCTAAATACCATTTCTTAGACTGCTTTTCTGTCTCTGTCTGTACTGCTTAATTGGCCTTAAATTTTGCTCTCGTGGAAACAGGTAGTACGTTACAGACCTCACTTGTGAAGCATCTGAGATTGGCTGATGAAAAATTAGAAAAATGGGGAAGACAGGGGTATCAATACAATGTAAGATTTTTTTATTGCTATGGTTTTAATGGAATTGCAGTAGGATTTTTATACAAGTCTCTGAAAGTCCATGACTTCATATAACTCGGAACCTACAGATTTGTACTCCTGCATTATTCTTGTTTAAACAGCTGTTACCATCGTCTGCTCGATATATTATCTGTCCCGGCACACAGGCAGACAGTCAGGAGGAATATAATTCCTTGGAGCTCGTATGCATTGCTAGAGCTCCTTGACTCTCCCGTCTCATCACGGGACCCCTGCACAGAGTGGCCCTGCAGCAGGCAGGGATTTGTACAGCGTCATTGTGGCGCTGGTGGTGTCACCCTCCTCGCTGGTGTAAGGACGGGGCCAGCAGGGAAGAGTTAGGCCGTTGCCGGTTATCTCGGCCAGGCACAGCGGGTTATTCGTCACCGCACCGAGCCCTGCCAGTAAAGCTTTCCCTCAGCAGAGGGAGTTGTTTCTCAAGGTAATAAGATAGCATTATCTGATTGCATTTTGTCAGGCCCGTCCTATTTATTACCTTACCTGTAATCTAATTTGTAATGTATTTCCCTGATAATTTCTATATTCCCCCCCTATATTTTGTAACAACTTCCGCTGAAAGTCCGACCTGCAGAAAAGATGAGGTTTTAAATCCAGCTTTGAATGGTAACACCCGGGTGCCTTTAACTGGAAAAGCTCTCCTAGCATGGAGCAAGGTCTGGTGGGAAAAGCTCAGCACCCTCTGCAAAAGTGTTGGGGGAATGCTGCGTTACAGCAGCCGCGGTCGCTTTGCCCCAGCCAGGAAAGCACCAGCAGCTACTTTCTACTTGTGGCAAGATGATCCTTTTGGTCAGAATGCCATTCCTGCTCCAGAGGGGTTAGAGGGAGGTACGTGAAGGGCAGCAACCAGCCCGTGCCAATAGCTAGTGTGGGCATGAGGTACGAAGACAACTCTAAGCCATGTGAAAAGCCACCATCGATGTGTCTCAGCTGCTGGAAGTTGCTCAGGTGCTTCACCTCAGCTTTCAGGAGGAAGCAGAGAGCAACAGTGTGTGGGGAAGAGCCACAACACCTGCATCACCCCTCTAGGTTGGGCAGAGATGCCTCACGGTGGCAGAGCCGGAGCGCGGTGGTCCAGCTACTCCAAACACAGGGCTGAGGAAGGCTGATTGGCGTGACAAATGACGCACACTACGGGAAGAGGTGGCATCGTCAGGCTGGCGCGGGCTTCCCACGCGACGTCAGGCTGGTGGCTCACCAGGGCTTTCCACCTTCTGCCCACCCAGTTAGTTCTGCTCCCGCTTGGCTGCGCCGCTGTTGTTATAAAACAAAGTTCAGCCTAAGCCTGCCCGCTGGACCTGGATTTCATCGTTCCGGTAAAGGCATTTCAAAGTCAGACAGCTTTAAAACAAAGAAAGAGAAATGTCCCTTTTTGTGGATGCTAATGAAATTTTTATCAGGGCATCTTTCTGTGAATGTTGGGCCTGAGAAGCATGGATTATGTTTGGGTAGAAGGGCTTAGTGAGCCCTGGAAATAAATCAGAGGAGGACAGAGGATGAAGATCACAAATGAATAATTAGCAAGTGACAGAGAACAACTGCAGGAAATAATAAAACCAGGAGGAGTATGTGGGAAATGCATAGGAGAGGTTGTTTACAACATGTGCATCGGACTTTCCAGCATTTGACATCTTATCTCCAAATCATTCCATATGTTACTTTATGGATGGATTCCTGTTTTTATGGGGTTTGTTCTATGGTTTTTGTACTAACACGAATGACTCACATCTGCTCCAATACTTAATTTATTCTCTAATGTCTTCTGCAAGGGATTGCTCAGCTCGTGCGATACTTGTCAGGGGCAGGATCGGAAGAGCAGCGAGTTGGGCAGGTGAGCAGGGACAGTTGGGTGAGGCAGCTCTTTTCTGCAGTCCTGCTCCGTTGGTTTTGTTTTCCCTTATCGATGCCCGTAACTCCCACTTTGGCTGCCCTGGGGGGACAGGCTGGCAGTGCCGGGGCTGTGTGTGGAGCCCGCCGGGAACACCCCACGGGACAGGGACGATGGCCGAGGGCCATCCCCGCAGGACCACGGCCCGGCACCGAGCTGCTGCCGACACGCCAACAGCTAATGATTATGATTTTATTTTTTAAGAGCTCTTGACAGCTCCGTAGACTCACATCTTCTCTTCCAAATCTAGTAATTAAATTCCACCTACCTGAATTCCCTCTGCTGTTTCGATGGGATAAATTAATCTTCCCATCATGTCTGAGCCTCCTCTGGGTGTCGTTGAGGGGTGGCCTCCCCTCGCCCCGGACCGGGGACCGGGCACGGGGGATCGGGACCGGCCGGGGCCAACTTCGCCGCGGCGCTGCCCGGCCCCGCGCGTCCTGTCGCGCTCGGCTCGGCGGCGCTGGGAAGCGGCCTGGACCCACGCGTGGGAGCGGGGAGAGAGAGATGGGCGTCCCCGGTTACTTCTTCCCCCCCCCCCCCCCCCCCGCCCCACCGGTGTCCCCAGCCCCGGGTGGCCGCGGCCCCGCAGCTCCCCGGGCGCCAGCCCGGCTGAATGGGCGCAGCACCTTCCCTCGGCGAGCGGCTCCGGCTCCAGCCCCCCTTCTGCCGGCGCCTCCTCCTCCTCCTCCTCCTCCTCCTCCTCCTCCCCTCCCCTGCAGAGCATGCACAGCCCGGGACTCGCACCGCCGGCTCCGAGGCGGGCGGGCGAGACCTTCCTCCCCGCCTAGCCCCGCTGCCGCTGCCCCCGGAGGCGCCCACCCCCCTCCCCTACCCCCTTCTCCGGCCCTTCATCCCCCCCCCCCCCCCCCGACTTTTCCCACCCCCCCCGAGGATGAGGCGGCCGACGCGGCGCCTGGCGCTGTCTGTGCTGGGGGTGCTCTGGCTCGCCGCCCTCCTCCTCTTCTTCTTCGGGGCGAGGAGGAAGTTGGAGGCGGCGGGAGGCGAGGGGCGCACGCCGGAGGTAAGGGGGGGGGGGGGGGGGGCAGCCGCCGCCCCGGGGAAGAAGTTCCCGGCGGTTTTCGGGACCCCCCACCCCATCGCGTCCCCTTAAAGTTTTGTATCGGCTCTGTGCCCTATGGCAGGGGGGTCCGGCCTTTTCCTTACCCTCACCCTCCCGTCGCGCTGCCCCCTCCTCCGCACGGCCTCGGGCAGCGACAATCCCAGCCCGCCCCCCCCCCCCCCCCCCGCTTCACCCGTGGGTTCACCGGGGGCTGCAGCCGTCGGGGCCCCCCGGGGGAGCGGGGCAGGGGGACCGCGGCTCCCCAAGAAGACTAAGCGCGTGTTTCGTGTCACGCGTGGGGGACAGGCGACTCCTTTCCCCCATGCTGTGTTTCCGAGCCCTCTCCTAAACGAGAAGGGCTCGATCCTGTCCCCTGGCCGGAACGAGAGGGGAGCAGGCAGAGAGAGTTTGGGTGGTTGGGGCACGTCGGCTGGCAGAGCTGCGGGTCCATCAGCTGGGTCCCATCACTGGGGCTTTTAATTACCGTGTGTGTTCGAAGGCTGGGCGCGGGCGGGAGCGTTGCCCTGAGAGCCTCAGCCTGGGGGGGAAGAAGGGGGGGCATTTGCAGCCGCCTGGTTCTGTGTCACGGTTGAGTGCCCGGAGCGCACGGGAGGGATGTGAAGAGCATCCCACTGGAGGTGGGGAGTGAAACAGAGGCGTTCCGCTGCCCAGGCGCCGCGAAAGGCAGGGGAGCTGCAGGCAGTTTCGTTTGAACCAGGTCCCGCGTCCTCCCCAGCAGCTGAGAGTGGCCTGAGCTTAGTTGAGGGTTAACTTTCCAAAGGACACCGATCAGATACCGCTCTTAGTTATGCTGCTGTAAATCTTGAATAAATTAATTGGGGTTAGAGCTCAGGTCCTGAAAAGCTGCTGAGGTTAAGGGTGATCATGGCAGAGGAAGAGTGTAAGCCCACAGCCCCTTTTTTGCACCAGTGACACCCAGCTGAGCATTTGGCCCATGACATATGGCAGCTATACGTGTTGGCCGGGTCTTTGGAGGGTGTCATATATATGTCACTCCTGCAACTGAATTAATGACCTGATTGGAAAAAAACAAAGTCAGAACTCATAAAGCTTGCTTTGATTTTTTTTTTTTTTATCCTGAGGAATTATTGGTTTTCCATGTTTTTTAAATAAAAATGATTGAGGAGGTTTTTTCGGGCTTTCAGAAATCTTTCAATCCTAGCAGAGGAGAATGAATCTATTCAATTTCAGGCCCCAAAATAAATAATTATATATACATTTATTTATTTATTTAAGCGGGGGAAGGTAATAAGTCGCTGAAAACAGAAGACAGGCGCTTTCTTAGCCGTAACTATGCTTTGGTGTCAATAGGTTTCTATCAGAACTGCGTTCTTGCAGATTGCAAAATAAGATCTCCTCTGTTTGACGTGAGCTCCTATATTCTCCTTGAAATGAACCTTGCTTCTCACTTAGCACCAGCTGGAGCTGAATTGGTGCTGGTTTGCAGCCCACTTTGACTCTCCACTCCCGTTCAAGGCTCCCCCCACCCCGAGGTGCAGGTTGCTGAGACTCTTAGGGGTCTGGCTGGGCTCCCACAGCTGGCCAGGCAAACTTCTCCTATCACACAGGATCGAGCCCTGAGTTTTGAAGCTCCAACTGCCAAGTTGCCATAACTCCAGCAATTTGACTGCTAAAATTGCCTCTCCTTCATTTCCTCTGAATTTTCCATCAAAACAGTTGCAACCCCTTGAGATCCATAGAGTGCAGATTCTATTTTATTATTTTTTTTTTTTAAATGCATGACATTTTTTGGCTTTGGAAACCGCTTTTGAGCAGTATGAATTGTAAGCTGGTTGTGAGCACGGGGATGTGGTGTCACTTCAGTTAACCCCTCTGAACGGGTGCAGAGCTGATGTGGGTACCAGAGGCAGGGACGCCATGGTCCAGAGAGGAGCACGGTGGTGTGTCCCGTTCCCCTGGCTGGCGGGACCGGCTGCCAAGGATGAAAACTTGAGCAGTTAGAGTTGTCCCAAATTCCTCAAGAAGCAAGTGGAGGTAGTAGGCTGCTAACAGCAGTGCAAATTTTGTAACACAGCTACAGTGGAGAAATGGAGCAAATCTGCATCAACTTCCCTGGCAGTGTTTTCCAACGTGTTGGTTATTTTTTTTTTAGTCTCCCCCTCCGTTCTGCTTTCTCTCTCAGTCGAGCTTTATTTCTGCGGCCATATGCACACTATATATGATGCCTGATGTGAATTTAACCTTTAGACCCTTCTAGTTAGGCTCCAGCTGGTAATTCCTCCTCCTGCCCGTGCCCGTCTCCTGGCAGAGCTCGTGGCACGCAGCCGGTGCTGGAAGGCCGCGGTGCCCGAGCTCACCGGCCGGCTGCGGCGCGTTGGTGGCTTGCCAAGGGCCAGCGGCAGAGCTGCTGCTCGCGGAGCTGCCGCCCGGCCTTCGCTGTTATTTTGGTCTGTGCCCCCCACCCCCCACCCCTTTTCCCCAAATCCTGTGCCAGATCCAGCGCTCAGCTTCCCAAAGGAGGGCTTGTGATGTTTTTCCTGTAGCCAGTCAGCCCTGTGTTGAGGTTGGCAAGGTCTCTGAGGAGCAGGTCCTTGGCGTGAGGGGTCTGCCACAGGCTTTGAGTCCTGCCTACCCCTAAAACACGCTGCCAGCTTGGCCTCTCGCGGCCCCGGCAGAGAAGAGTGTTCGGGGCAGGTCCTGAGCAGTAGTTGAGATTTCCTGAGCTGTTTGTTCCCGAAGAGATAGGCACAGCCGTCTGTTGTAATTAAGTTGGCTTCACCTCCTTGCCCTCTCTTTTTTTTTTTTTTTTCTGTTTTCCCACCTAAGCCCATCTCCACGGATCTCTCACTGGTGCCTGGTGGCAGGCAGGCTCAGAGGGTCGCCCTTCTTGCCAGCTCTTGCTCCCCTCAATCCCTGTCATCTCCTTTCCCTCCTCCTTGCCGCTGGCGATACATGCCAGGGCGGCCAGAGCAGGCTGAGGCTGGATTTTAGGGTGTAGGACTCCCTCCTGGCTGTGGAGTGTAATAACCTTGCAGGGCTGGTAGGGTATGGAAGAAAATAACTTGCTTCATTTAGGACCATGAAGCTGTTTCCGGGACAACTTTCTGGGTTGCTCTGGCACTGTTATTCCTGCTGCCACTTTTTTTTTTTGTTTTGTTTTGTTTTGTTTTGTTTTTTCAAAGGGCAGATCAAGCCCTAGTAGCACGGTTAGCAAAACCTGCCCTTTCCCTTTCCACGCCCTTTATTAAGTTCTATAAATTGGCTGAGAAGAGGAGCGGTAGCGGTGTGCCTGCCTCTGCCAGGGTGTGTTTCCCACCCGGCCCAGCCGGGTGCCTGGTGCCTGGTTAGCAGCCACGGGCTCAGCCCCCAGGAAAGCCAAGTCTGATGGATGAGGGTGTAAGGACGTGGGGCTGGTCGGGGTTAGGGATCAGCTGGGACCCGTCGGTGCCTCCTGCCCTCCCTGCCTTTTGGTGGCGGGTTTTGAAATACTTTGCAAGCATTAATTACTTCCAGCCTGCCTCCCTGCCGCCACAGTTTTCCAGCTGGATAAGCTGGGACCCAGAGAGGTTAATTGAACTTTGTATCCCTCTGGCTCTTGTTGACTCCAGAGGAGTTGGAGTCGCTCAGTAAGCTTGGAAAATCAGTGTGCCAGTGACCTACCTGAAGTCACGCGGGGAGGCGGTGCTGGGGCTTGGCATGTGCTCCCATAATCCGGGGCTCACGGCCCCACGCCACCGCCCGGCATCACCCCTGCCTCCCTCTGACCCGGCCCTTTGCTTTGGGAGGGGGGGAACATATAGATTAATAACTTAGTTACATGAAGAAATAACGAGGGAAACTGATACGTGGGATTAATTACAAGCAAATTCCCCAATTGATTTGTGAGGAGTACGTGTAGCTGGCTCTGCAGCGATGTTTTGCTAGCGTGCTGGCTCCTGTGCCTGGCTGCAGCCGTGTGGCCCTGAGGGATGCGAAGGAGGGAGCAGGAGAGGAGTAGGTGACAACCCCTTGGTCACCTCATCTCCCTCCACCTGGTGAATCCACACGACACCGAAGCGGGGAGCTGGCAGTGTAGCAGCCCTGCTGCAGCGAGAGGCTGGGGGGTGGGGGGGTCTGGGCTCCGGTGCTTGGGGCCAGCAGTACCTGCCGGAGGGGCAGGAAGATGTTTTTGGTTGGGTTTGGGGTTTTTATTTCTCTTCATTCCCTCCTGCATGCCAGCTTGCTCCCTCTGAGGAATGACTGAAGCACAGCTGACAACCTCTGGAGGGGGAGTGGGTCTGTTGTGGGCTGGGTTGCAGGAGAAAAGCTACAGGAGGAAAAGTTCCTTTTATTAAAAAAAGTGACCCGATATACTTGACTTGTACTGGTGTTTGCAGTGCAACAGCTCCATTCTGAGTGTGTTCAAATGCAGCTGGGGGATGGCTCCTGGGAGATGATGACAGGCTCAGCACCCTCG